TGGAGTCTTTACATCCCAGTCAGTATCCATTGTCTTGTGGTCAGTGTTCTTTTTCTTTTGCTCATGGCGCGTCCGACATGCATTCCTTTTTTGATGTGAATTTCAAACATTACAGTGTTTTGCTGAGAGAGCTTCTTCTCCCTCCTGGCTCCAGCAGTTTAATTGGTGTTGCTGTAGTGGATTGGGAGTGCTCCCCCCCCCCCCCCCTGTTGTTTTGGTTCTTTGTATTTCTGAATTATGTCTGTGTCTGAATATTGTAACTTGGAATCCAAACTTGGGAGTTACTTTCTTTGACCACATATAAATTTTTGAGCACGGAAAGGATCTCTCTCATTTGGATGCCTTGTGCAATGAAGGGTGCTTTAGTCTATGGAGTATTGGGGGGGGGGGAAATCCCTCTCTCATTGAATAGTGTGTGTGGGGGCAACTAGTCAAGGACAGGAAAGGAAAGGAAACAAGTCAGGGTTTTTTTTACGTGTTCCCTTCTCTCGTCCTCCTTTGCCATTGCAAATCCAGGTGTTTTCCTCTCTGCTGCATTTGCTGTTTGTGTGGTGTCCTGCACTGCCCAAGATGGGAGATGAGCAGGGGCTGCTCTGGTGCCTGGGGTTGGAATAAATGCGAGTTAGTTCCACTCGGTGATCCTGAACTGCTGGCAGGAGCGGGAGACACAGGCACTTTCTATTTAAAGCACAGCACAGAGGGCAGGTTATAAAAAAGCAAATCTGCTCTGTGGACAGCAGCGAAAGGAGGGGGGAGCGGAGTCAGCAAGGGTGGGGAGGTGCTGCTTCCTTGGCCTCCCTTTTTCTTTTGCTCTTCTCTGTTGGTGGTATGGCAGAGAAATAACCTCCTGGAATCCTTCAGTGCCGCCACCCCCGCCAGTCTCCACATTTTTTTGTTCCACGTAGGTGGCTCTTGAAAGGGTTAGAGTGCCTCCTAAACTGAACAGGAATAAACAGTGTGATGCTCTTGCAGAAGAGGCAAATGCTATGCAGGGAAGGATTAACAAAAGCATTGTATATAAACGACGGGCCAATGGTTTCTCTCCATGCAGCATTAGTTGAATCATCTGCAGAGTGGTGTGTTGAGTTACGGTCTTCAGCTGCAGACAGGAAGACGGAGCCAAAATATGAGAGAGATTCTACATCGCAGGAGCGACAGAACACGGTCGATTACATTGTTATGCTGCTGTTTCCCCAAAGAGCTTGGAATGGCATACACTGTAGTCCTGTCTTCCATTTTAACCTTACAATAACCCTGTGAGGTGCATTATACTGAGAGAGAGAGTGACTGGCCCAAGGGCATCCAGTGAGAACCACGGCAGAGTGGGAATTAGAAATTGGGGCTGCCTATCTCATGCTCCACGCTGACCCTGAATTCCTCATTCTGGATGTAATAAAGCCTTTACTGAGCCTTACAGACAGTCATGAAACAGATGTTTGTTATCATTACATCTTGCTATTCCTGTGTTCTCTCATTGTCCCACTAACTATCGGGTGATGCTGTCTCAGCAAACAGCGAGGATAGCCCTTACGAAAGGAAAAGAGACTAGCCCAACAACAGCCTTTCCCAAGTGAAAGGGCCAAGGAAAAAGCACTTTCCAGCTTTGGGAAGAGTGTTGTGAGTGAGGCAGAGCACTTGTGCGGCGATTGCAAGTGGCATATTGCATCTCTGAAAGAAAGTCTGTGGGGTTACCCACAAAGGAGGTTTGCCGTAAAATCTAAAATTGTAAATAGACATGGGGAGCAGAGGAACCCCTCCACAAAACTGGTTGTTGTTTTTTTTGGGTATTTTTTTGTATTTTTCATATGTATGTGGGTGTGGGTGTACGCACACCTGGAAGTCATGGTGACTTCTGGTGACTGACCCCAATTGGGGGCCTGAAGGATGTTCAGAGATGTGGCTGAATAAAGCCTGCCCCCGCCTCCCGACTGCTGGTATTCCAAGGAGGTCTCCCATCCAAGTACTTGCCACAGTCGACCCTGCTTATCTTCCGAGATCTGATGAGATTGGGATTGCCCGGGCTATCCAGATCAGGGCCACAGAACTTTGTCATGTCATCTGTGTATTTACATCTTTTCAGAGTTCTTCTGGCATTGTGGCTGTAACAGATGTGTTGCATGCCAAGGCACCTGCTTGGAGTTTTCGTGTGGGTCTTTCCTTGCGCACTAAGGGGCAGCTAAAAGAAATTTTTGATATCTTACCTTAAAGGCATTTTTTTTAAATAAAGGTATTCCATAGGCTGTTATTTCACACACACACGCCACCAAAAAATTCATTTTTCCCTGATGGGGGAAAAGTCCAGGTGGAAGGTGGTTAGAAGAAGAAAAACTATCCCCTCATGCATGGATTTTTTTCTCCACAAGCCATCTTTAGTTTTGAGTAAGGGATGTTCCTTCTTTGTAGTCTTTCCTTGGTGCAATGCTAAATGCTGTCCTCTTGCAAACTTCTGTCAGAATTATAGTAGTAGATTTCATCATTCCCTTCCCTCCCCTTTAACTGGATCTAAAGATATTCTAGCCAAGAATTTATGCTCTGGAGGAGGGAATCCACTGGTTCATACTAGCTTACATGTACTAGCTTACTAGTGCTGATTAGGGAGGCAACTAGTGGGTTAACTAATATTGAATCTCCCAGGACCAGCTCTGTCTCTCTCATTTAAAACTAGTGTAAAAAATGTGAAGGATCCCTGCATTCCCAGCAGAAAATGCCTCAGTAAATTTAGATCAAGGACTCCCATGCCAACATATCCTTGAAGTCTCCACTGAGAGGGGTGTGGAGTCGATGGAAACTATAAACACCGCAGCCTATGTTCCTGCTGTCTTTTTTTAAGTGAGTGTGCCTGGGCTGATGGATTCCAGGTAACAAAACATCTCTGCAAGTGGAAGACTGACTCTGCTCTAAAAGGGAACTCTCTTCTTTCCTGTGTTTGGAAACTCTGAACAGTGAATATAGACTGTTTAGAACAGAATACTAGTACTTCTGTGATTGACAACAGCTTTTTGCAGTAATGTAATGTGAAGCACAAGTGCTCTGCTCCTTGCTCTTTTTTCTGCTTATTCCTCTTTTGCTTTGGAGGCTGATTTTTTTCCTCTTAGCTGTCTTTGAACATTTCCTTCATTTAGCAACTTTAACAGGCCGTTCCACTGACCCGTGGCCTGGGAGAACATGGAGTTGGAACCTGATGGGTTTCTTTGTATGGTCTGATTCCCCCCCGGTTGTGCTCACTCCCCCCCCCCCCCCAGCAGTCAGCATTGTGAGTCCCAGGCCAGGCATCTGCTGTCTCCAAAGATCGAGAGGCCAACTCTGGGAGCTGGACCTTCAGTTGAAGGCTGCTTGTGCAGTCAGTTGTATCTGGACCTAGTCAGGCCCTGCTGAGTTGGTGTTCCACTTCTCTTTTACCACAGGAGGGCCCCAACATAGGTCTCTACAGGGAATATTTTAAAATGTGTGTGTGAGTGTGTAAGGGCATACTGTCTAATAGACACAGAAATGAGTTAAATCTTTGAGTGGGTATTGGGCATTCTGCTTACTACTGAGGGCATCAGAAAGGGCTTTTTAAAAGTATCAATCTTTCAGCTCCTGTTGTTGTTGGGGTTTTTTTTTAATAAAGAAGCCAATATCTAGCTCACAATGCTACAGAAACAATCTTGCAAATCATGGTTGAGCAGGTAGTATTTGCTAAGTGAGTAGAAGCAAAAAGGTTTATTAAGTCAAGTGCTCATAAGTATAATGCGTCACCTGGAGAACCAACTATTGTCATTTTAGTACCATAGTTTTTATCTATAAATTAAAAAGAAGTTACGTAGAAATAATGTGACAATATTATGACAGCACCATCCTAATGTCTGAAATTGGATGAGCAAATGTGAGGCCCCCTGGTTTTTGTCATGGTTAGCATTGTTTTATTTTTCAGTTCAGCACCTCCCTGGCATTTATGTATTTATTTCAAACATTTGTGTCCTGTCTTCCCAAGGCTTGAAGCGACTTCTGACAAACTAGTAAAAACAAGAGTAGTAAGAATAAAGGACAGTTTCCAATAGTGGTTCTATAGGCAATCACTTAAAATGCAGAAGCTCTACTATAGAAACAAAAGGCCTTGTGAAAAAGGTAGGCTTGGTGTTCTCTGAAAAATTGTGAGAACCCGTAAAGGCTGGACCTTTTGGAGAAGACAGCTCCATAAGCAGGTCAATTGTGGAAGAGGTCCTGCTCTGTGGCTCAACTGATTTATATATTTTGTTTTAAGGCCCACTCTCCCTTTCCTAGGAGCTCAGGGTAGCATATGTGGTTCTCCTCATTCCAGTGCTGTTCTCAATGACTTTGTGAGGTAAATTAGGTTGCCTAAAACCACTTAATGAGCTTTATGGCAGAGTGGGGATTTAAGCCCACATCTCCCCAATTTCATTGCAACATTCTACTACACTAGCTCTCTGGATGGCCTAAGCTCATATGATGTGGACACATGGATCATGGTGCAGAATGTAGACAGTAGGGATGGCCCAATGGCAGAGGCCTGAAAAGCTATGTTTCCTAGTAGTTAGTGCTACTCTAGGATTTGGGAGACTTTACTTCAAATCTCTGCTCTTCCATGAAGCCCACTTGGTGAACTTGGGTCAGTTAACTCTTTCTCAGCCTAACTTAGGATACCTGTGAGGATAAAATGAGGACAGGAGGCCGATGTACACCTCTCTGAGCTCCTTTGAAGGAGAGAGAGAGAGAGAGAGATGGAAAATGTGCCAGGTAAATAGGTGCATGACTATTTGCTGACCCTTTTTTAGTTCAGCTGACAGTTTGAGCAAAATTCTTTTATTTTTATTTTCTCTCTCTTTGAATATTGTATATTGAAGCATTCTGTTTTTAAAGGCCATTTTTCTCACCTGCACTCTCAGTCCATACCAGTGCCATTAAACCACAGTGACAGAACTTAGTCCAAACATAAAGCCCGTGAGCTACCGTCAGCTCTCCTGCTCCCATTCTCAGTAGCCATTTCTTCTCTCTTTCAGGCCACGTGCAAAGCCTCCTCTGCGGACGTCATGGCCATAGTGCAGACCCTGCCCGTCTCCATTGAGTCTGCCTCTGAAGGGGCTTCCCAGCTCCATACAGGTGCCTGCTCGCCTCCTGCACCAATGGGCAGTGTCAGTAGCCTCATCTCAGGCAGGCCTTGCCACAAGGCCACAGCAGAGTTCGGCTCCTTCCGTCTGCCAGGAGGTGCTGGTTCCCAAGAGCCCCTGTGCCATGGACTCCCTGCCAAGAAAGTTAGCTACCCTTATGGTAGTGAAGAGGACTGGGCTGAAGCTGTATCTCCTATAAGCCCCTGTAGTGATACTGAGGACCTGCAAGATGACAAGCCCCAGGTTGGCACCATCCGTGGACCTCCCCCCAAGCTGGTGCCTGTCTCGGGGAAACTTGAGAAGGTAAGAAGGGGTGGCAGCCTTGTAGAGCAGGATGATGGGCTGTTGAAGTACATTATGCTCTACCACCCAGCAGCCAGAACAAAGTCCTGCTAGCTCCCTTTGGTTAGCTTCTTCAGAATTTTGTCTTTGAGAGATGCAACTACTTATTGGGGGCATGTTGTTCTTCCTAAATCAGTCATAATGTTGGTAACTAAACAGTTGTTTCTGTCCTTCCTTTCTCACAGATGGCGTATGCTAAGATAAAAATTGAGGGAGTGTGAGGCGCCTCTGTGTATTGTTTAAAAGGCCCAGGAGAGTCCGCCATAACAGCAGCACAGTGATCTTCCTAGCCTAAGAAAGTGTTCTAGTAGATGATGAGGAGGGAGGTGGTACTATCCCAAGTGAAATTCAAAGAAAGTCCATGTATTGAAGATTTTTAAAGTCTCCATTTCCTCATCTGTGAATTTTAGAGGATGAATCTGCCTAAAGCTTATCAAAGGTGGAGTGAAGGTTTCACACCTGTTGCTTTAACCTTCAAGTGATAATTTCTGGTCTTGCATCCCTGTGCTCCTTGTGTTATTTTTCAGAACATGGAGAAGACGTTAATCCGCCCAACTGCCTTCAAGCCTGTCATGCCCAAGAACCGTAATCCCTCCGTGCAGGGGCACTTGGCGCTGCGTCCTGGTACTTCGGTTCTCTCTGAGAGCCAGGCTAGCCTTGCTCAGCTCTTTGGTGGCTCCTCCACAGGGAGTACTGAGAAACACAACTCCCTGAGCTGCCGCACAAGCTCTCATTCAGGAACCATGTCTGACTCGGGACACAACTCCCTCTCAAGCCTGCCCACATACAGCACTGGTTGCAGCCAACAAATGGAGCCGGTCAACATCTCCATGGGCCACATAAACCTTGACAGCCATGGCAGTAGCAGTTCACGGGGCCTCACTGGTCCTTCAAACTCAGACAGTGGCCGGTCATCTTCAAGCAAGAGCACGGGCTCTCTGAGTGGCCGTGGGCACCCTTCCTCTGATAGTGGCTCATGTGGTGGGCGCTCACCTGTGCACAGTGGTGCTGATGAAGCCCTTCTTGTTCATGAACTTGAGGAGAAGCTGCGAGAACGGGAAGCTGAACTACAGCATTTGAGAGAGAGCTTGGATGAGAACGAGGTGGCCATTTGCCAGGTAATCAGTAGTGGGGGTTCATGTGGTCTTCTTAATGCATAGAGACTGATAACTAATTTAGGCTTTAGAATTCTAAATGGTGACACTCTAGCTGAATTGGACAGAGAGTTTACATGTTGTTCAAATAAAGGAGCGAGTATAATAGATTATTTTATGATTTCAAAATATTTTGTAGATTTGATAAGGAAATTCTTGATTGGGCACTTGCTCACTAGCAACCATTGTCCACTTCAGCTCTCTTTTTTTTCTGACATCCCTTTCAAGTTTTAAAGGAAATAAAATTATAACTGTTACAACTCATAAGAAGGGGAATTCTCAGGTGGCTAGAGACTGGCTAGAGAATACTGGGGTCTGAAGAAGCTAAAGTATTATGAACTTCTATAATTCAGTCCAATAGCACAGAAAACTCTACTGAAAAGTTAGATCAGTTGGTTGGCCTATTCTCTTCTGCTTTAGGAAAGTAAATTAAGACATATAGAACACTGGTGAAAAATAGCTGGTTTGACCGTGACTATTGATAATAGAAGTTAGAACTTAAAAACCCCTGTGCTGTATGGAGGAAGTCTGGAACTTTAGAAAGAAGAAGGTTATTCCTCCTTTTGAAATGCTGTTATAAAAACTAAATTAAGCAAAAACAGAGGAAGCATGCAGAAGCAGGTCACTCCAGTCTTTTCAAATTACTTAAAGAGAAAACCGAGGGAGCCATTTGGCAAGAACTTAGATCTTTTCAGCGAGGTGATAATTTAGCATCTAATATCCCATTGTCTATCTGGGAGTGCTACTCTGAAGATATGTTTAAAGATACTGTGGGAGGTTCTACTTCTCCTTCCGGTATTGACATCTCACAGCTACCTGTGTATCCAAGAGTAGCTATAATTAAACAAATGAAAACTGGAAAGGCTCCTGGTTATGATTTACTTCTGGTTGAACTCTTCAAGCTAGACCCAGTATGGTGGACAGAATTATTAGCCCCCTTATTCACAAAAATCAATCAACCAAGAGAGCCAGTTTGGTGTAGTGGTTAGGAGCACGGACTCTAATCTGGGAGAACCGGGTTTGATTCCCCACTCCTCCACATGCAGCTGCTGGTATGACCTTGGGTCTGTCATAAGTTTTTTTTAGTTGTTCCCTCAAGGTTAGTTCTTGAAAGAGCTCTCTCAGCCCCACCTACCTCACAGGGTGTCTGTTGTGGGGAGGGGAACAGAAAGGAGATTGTAAGCTGCTCTGAGACTCCTAGTGAAGGACAGGGTATAAATCCAACTCTTGTTCTTTCTCTGTTTATAAGAAAGGGATAAGAACGGGTCCCTCCAATTAGCCTTCTTTCTGTATTGAATAAAATATATGCTGCCTTTTAAATGAATAAATTAAAAGTATGGATGGAAGAATACAACATAATTCAGCAAGAGCAGTTTGGCTTTCGGAAATGCTGTAAATGTATACAACATTGTTTGATCCTATCAACCTTTGTTAATAAATACATCAAAAGTAACGGAGAATCTGTATTCGCTGCCTTTTTGACCTTTGAGCAGCTTTTGATTCAGTATCCCATACTTGTTTATGGGAAAAGTTGAACTCCATCTCTATTCCTAAGTGGCTGTTGGCCCTGATTAAGAACCTATATACTGGGAGCATTCTACAGTTAAAAACTTTTAATATGAATTCATCTCTGAGATTAATAAGAATCAAAAAAAGGTGTACGGCAAGGATGTGTCCTAGCTCTACACTTATTCAACTTATATATAAATAACTTCTTCCCAGATCTGCAAAATAATACTCATGCATGATATTTAACAAATCATCCTCTATCAATAGTTTTATATGCCAATGATTTAGTTCTCCTCAGCCAAACGCCAATTGGCTTGAAGAAACTCATGAACAATTTCTGTGTTTTTTGCGCTTAAGAGTTGTTGACAATTAATTTTGCCCAAACAAATATCCTGAGATTCTCTAAGTCAAGGTGTTTGAAGGAACATCCCTGGCAAATTTATGGAGAAACTATTGAAGTAGTCAGACAGTTTAAATATCTCAGTGTTATGTTTAATTATGATTTATCCTGGAACTCCCATATAAATTCTGTCATAAGAAAGACCCAAATGTCGTTAATCACTCTTCATAAATTCTTTTATACCAAAGGAGGCCAATCTATCTTGTTTTTGTTAAAGTTTTATAAGGCCATCATTCTTCCTAAATTGCTCTGTGCTGCCCTGATCTGGGTCAACGGACCACTGGATCCTCTTGATAAGCTCCAACAAAGTTCTTCCTTAAGTTACTTTCTCTTCCTCTCAGTGTACCTTCCGCAGTTGTGCAGCTAGAACTCGGACTCCTTCAGATTTCAACAATAGCATGGTACCACGCTATCAGGTTTAGGTTATCACTTCGTGAACCTAATGCTCTACCATCCTTACTGCAGTTAGTAACAGCTGACTCCTGCTTGGGAACTGGGCTTAGCCCAGTTGACTCACAGCTTGCTATATTAAACCTGAGTCTAAATTTCAGGGACTCATTTAAAAAAATTCTTGTTAATTGTATGAAATAGATTACTTAAAAAAAGATCGGGCTATACCAAAACTCCAAGCTGATTGGAAATGCTCCCCTGTTTACTTCCATTTATCTTATCAGAAAATGTTTGCATTGTCTAAATACTTCTTTTATTTAACAGTTCCAAAATATTGTCCCACTTTCCTGCTACTTAGATGCAATGCATTACCTTCCGCTGAGATGAAGGGTCACTTTAGTAGAACCCCTCCCTCCCCCGAGAAATGCTTCTGTATTTATTGTAAAGATCAAGTTGACTTACTGCCACAGGAGGTGGCGGCGGCTACACACATGGACAGCTTCAAGAGGGAATTGGGTAAACATATGGAGCAGGGGTCCATCCATGGCTATTTAGCCCAAAAGGTATAGATAGGAACTCTCAGTCTGGGGCAAGTGATGCACTGTATTCTTGGTGCTTGGGGGAGGGGGCAACAGTGGGAGAGCTTCTAGTGTCTTGGCCCCACTGGTGGACCTCCTGATGGCACCTGGTATTTTTGGCCACTGTGTGACAGATTGTTGGACTGGATGGGCCATTGGCCTGATCCAACATTGGCTTTTCTTATGTTCTTAATTGCCCATATCCTTTTTAGTTGCCCCTGTTATATCTCACATCGTAACCAATATATTACTTCCTGGACTGACCTTCTACAGAACATTTCAGAACAACAGATACTAAAGATCTTACTCTCAGGCAAGATAAAAAAAAGTACGTGGGTGATTTAGCCATATTTATCTATGCAGTTACAAATTACTTATAATATACACTGACATATGGCTTGTAGGCTTTTACGTTACAGGGAAAGGAAAGTAGAGCATGATCTGATTTAGGTTGTTTATTTTGAGTTACATTTGAGTTACATTTAGTAAACAGGTTTCAAAAGTACTTTATATTAGGGTTATGTCCCAATAGCGGTTCCAAGGTCAACTGAAATACCTGTTCAAGAAAAAGTCGTATGATTTAAAGGTTACATTCAAACAAATTCAAAGTTTTGTGTGAAAATTATTTTTATTGCAATAATACCTGTAAAAATATAAATACAATACAGCATATACTCTCCATATATTGTTTAAGTACCCCCCTTCCCTGAAAACATTGCAAACTGTTGACACACTAATTTTAGCAGACCTTTAGAACTAAGCATTATATCCTATGGATTTGCTGTGGTTTTTCATTCATCTATATCAGCAGAATTTCAGTCTCTTCTATGGAGGTTACGGCCCCCCCCCCCCCCCCCATTTCACAGTCACTGTAGGTAGTATCACTTCTGTTACTTGTTAGTTCTACGTCTGATTGATGGTTACAATATCTCCTATAATATTAGAAGACTTATATAAATAAGAATCTAATGTGGGGATTCATCTAATTTGCACAGCCAATCAGGTGAATTTATAACTTCATGTTTCTGGATTATTATTTGTATTTGTGATTCTCACACAACCCCCCCCCTTTATAAATCAATAAAACATACATGTACATCTCACGTGTAAATTCCTAGGGATCAGTGCCTGAAAAATATTAATTACAACTTGGACAGTGCCATTCTAAGCAGAGTTACACCCTTTTAAGTCCACTGAAGTAAAAGGGCTTAGAATGGTATGAGTCTGCTTAGGATGGCATTGAGAAACTCTGAAGTTTGCCTTATTTTGCACTGGCCATAGAATTCGAGTCTTAATTTGCTGAAATAGTGAATCTTTAGAAATGGAAAAATTTATGTTGGAAATAAAGTACTGGAAATTTTTCTGTAAAATGTCCCATTTCAGGAAATGTTCTGCCCTAAATCTTTGGTATATGTTAGGACTGGCAGATCTTCATTTAATGTATAGAATACATGAGTTCTCTTTGGGCACAGACAGGGCCAGCATCAGCATACCCTGAGATGGGGCATCTGCTGAGGGTCTCAGGTGCCCACTGCTGTTGCCCATGCCCACCTGCATCCCCCTGTGCCCATCTGCTTGCTTTTGAGCCTTCTCACCAGCCATGCTCATGGCGGTCAGGCCCATAGCCAGGATTTCTTAATTCAGGGGGCCTTTAAATAAGTCAGGGGGCACTGATAAAAATAAAATAAACTCACACTCCCAGGCAGGAGCAGGGTTATTTCCCCTATTGTGAAGGGTGGGTGTAAGTGGAAGTCAGTCACTGACTTCGAGTAACCTGAGGAGGATCCCCTGCATCTCTCATTTCCCCCCACAACAGCACTGGCTGTGTGGAGTGCAGGGAACTATGGCGAAAGTGGCGGGCTCGGTTCCTTATTACTTTCTTCCTGGCTGACTTCGTGCCTCCATGGTGACTTTGCCTCGGTCACACCCCCACCCACCGCCCTGCAGGGGGGTTTTCTGCTGCAACACTTCTCAGACTTGTAAGTGGCAGCCCGCCCAGGGAGACAAGCCAACGGAGGAGAGGTGGGCGAGCAGACGGGATGGAGATGGCTGCTCTGCTGCCGCTGGTGGCCTGTGTGCGCCCTGGGTTGGTGCAACCGGGCTGGACTGAGAAGGTGGGAGCTGAAGGAAAAACCCGGGAGGGGAAGCTGAGGGAGTGCTGTGATTCTCTCTCCCTTGGTGGCCAGCTTCCTCGGCGACGAGGGCACAGGCACATGCAAGCGAGCGCGTGAGATCTGCAATCTTGCACTGGAGGGAGAAGGAGATAAATCTCTGTAGTTGCAGGTTCAGCCACAAGACTCACAGCTCCCTGGCCGCACCTCACCTGCCAGCCAGCTTGCCTGGCTGCCTTGCACTGCTTCATGCCGTGGCTTAGGGATGTGCATTCGGTTCGTCTGAGCTGAATGCACCCCCGAAAATGGCCCATTCGGGCCCCTTTCGGGCTGCTGTGGGCCAATTCAGATTCTCTGATCTGAATTGGCCCCAGTACAACCTATGGGCCATTGAAGTCAATGGCGAAAACATAGGGTATATTCTGGGGGCTGGAGGGGAGATGGTTTGATGGAGGTGCTCCAAACTCACAGGGTAGCTGCTGGAGCCTCTCCCCAGGATACCCACCACGTTTCAGGAACATTGGACCAGGGGGTCCAATTCTATGGGCCCCCAAACAGGTTGCCACCATCTCCTCCATTCTCTATGGTGGGGAAAAAACGTTACTTTTTTCCCACCATGTTCTTGAAACTTGGTGGGTATCTTGGGGAGAGGCTCCAGCAGCTACTCTGCGAGTTTGGAGCCTCTCCGTCAAATGGGGCTGAAATTGACATTCGGCTGGTGGAAAGACTCCCCAATCAGCTCCTACTGCCGAAATTGACATGCCGGCTGAAAGTGATTCTGCCCGATCAGCCGCCAGCCCAGGATGGCGCCTGTGGGGTTGCTGACAGGTTGGGAAGTTGTGGGGCCTTGGTAGGAAGTCGTGGGGCCGGGCCCCAGAATGCTTCAATGTAGTTACGGGCCTGATGGCGGTATACACTACTTAGTGTTGCCAAGTGAGAAAGAATGTGAGGATGGTGCAGAGTGACACTGCTTCCAGTGACAGATCTCCTAGCCACATATACCCCCTCAGCACTGGAGAGGGCTGGCAAGCGAATGAGTAGGCTCAGGAAGGACACACGGGTAGGCAGCGGGGGAGGAGAGGTGCACTGACTGGTAGAGGAGCTGGGGAGGGGCCAGGCACACTCCAGGTTTTGGTCAGACCTGGGCAGAATCCCCCCCGAGCACAAATAAGGTCAATGCAGCCTTCTTTTTCTGCATTCTTGTCTTCAGTGCAGGGGAGGGGATTTTCAACCCCAAGTGCAGTGTGCATATAGATGTTGATTAGGCTCACAGCACAGTCTGTCTTCGTTCTGAGTGTGAAGTTGGCCATCCCCTGCACTGACACCCACAAGCTGCTTCATAAAATGCTGTCAAAACTTAAAGCTAATTAAAGAGCATTGTTGTACATGTTGTGTCATAATTTTCATTACACATAGTTCCCAGTCTTGGGTTGTTTTTTTTTAAGAACAGCAATATATTTTATTGTATTTACTTTATAAAACAATTCAGTTAGACAGTATAAACTAGTCAGTAAGCAGTGCAGTAGGTCTAGAATTACAGAATTGGAAAACAATGCAAACAGAACATTGTCTACACTTCGTTATAAAGCTTAATTTGTATCATCTAACAATACTTTTCGTTACCAGATCTGGGTTTCTATTGTTGGAATCTTTCTGGTGAGACACATTTGTAGCAGGATCTGTATGCTTGCCAAGTTGGCGTTGTTTGCCTTGTTCACCTTTTCCATATTTCCCACCTGTGGTTCCCTGCTCCATCTGTAGCAGCTTCTGTGTCCTGTTCAAAATGATCTCCTTGCATCCCCTTCTTGTGTAAGCATCCCCTGCCCAGCTCCCTGCTTCCTCTATGATACAGAATCCTATGATGAGGAGCAGGAGCTGCAGTGCCTTTCAGCAGCCTTTTTTACTTGGAGCAAACAGGAGGAAAATAATAGTCTTTGGGCAGTGCTTACTAGGCACAGTTTGGTGGTGCTGCAGGAGCTGGCTGCATGATGGCAACAGCATACCGGGTGGCTGCTCTTTCGATTCCAACCAGGTGCTTTTTCTCCTCCATTTAGGTATATGAGGAGAAGCAGAGGCGCTGTGAGGAGGAGATGGAAGAGCTTCGGCAGGGCTACACAGTCAAGCTCCAGCAGGCAGCACAAAAAGCACAGCGCAGCCAGCAAGTGCTGCAGCTCCAGATCTTCCAGCTTCAGCAGGAGAAGAAGAAACTCCAGGAGGATTTTGCGCAGCTGCTGGCAGAGCGCGAGTTGCTGGAGAAACGTTGTGCTTCTTTTGAGCGAGAACATACAGAGTTGGGGCCACGGTTGGAAGAGACCAAATGGGAGGTGAGCTGTGCTGGAAGAAAGGGCTTTACACAGTTGTGTACTTTTCAGAGGATCTTTCTGGGAGTTTGCTTTCAAAGCCATGTATCAAGAGGGCTGTGTCACTAGCAGCCTTATCGTCTCCACTCAGTTGCCTTTTAGCTTCTCTCTGTCTTCCAGCCATTGAGGGACTCTTCTCTGTCTGTCCACAGGGGTACAGTGAGTTGTTCCTTTCTGACCTGCTAGATGGCAGACCTTTTCCACACAGGGTATTAACAGGGTTGGGGGAAGTATGCCTTTTCCCACTTCCCCACAGCATCATGGGGTATTTGTGCACTTCCTGGGATTTCCAGTATTTCCTGAATGTGCTTTGCTGGGAAGTCTGGGAAAGATTGCAGCAGAGCCTGGATACCTGCTGTGTAGGCAGGAAAGTTTGGATTTTCTTTTCTTTTCCCCAGTCCCTGCCACAGGTGAGGGGAAGGGCTTTTCTGAAAGTTTTGAGTTTTGTTTGTTTTTTAAGTTGGAAGTTAACATGGTATAATGGTATATTGTTATGTCAATTGCTTGTTTTAAAAATCCTTGAGAAAGTCTCCGCCACCACTGTGGTATACGTGGAGTGGGAAAATGGCCACATCAGGAACTGGGAGGAAGGAAAATGAGGTGAAACCCACCATCTAGAAGCCCCACTGCTGTTGCACTGCATTGGTAGCCGTAGCAATAATGAGTTTTCCAAAAAGAAAGTATTGCCATTTGGGATGAATTGTTCTACTTGGTGGGTCTTGGGAATTACTGCAACTAGCCTTTTTAGGCCTCTTGCAAATCTTCAAATTCTCTTTCTCTCACTCCTGGACTTGGTTCTGATATCACCATAGAAGATGTTCAGTAATAGATAATGAGGCAGGGGATGCGTTTGTTTCTTCTTAAAAAAAAGTGTTTTTTATTTTGAACAATATATTTAACAGTACATTCATAACACATATTATCACTGTGTATTAACCAACATTTCAGCCTTTAAGAGCTCTTTTAAAAATATAACAGATCTTTGTAATAAGAGTTGTTTGGAATCACTTCTTCTTCTGCGAGATAGTTCACTGCTGGGAACCGCGTTTGTTTCTGAGGGAAGAGTCTTCCCACTTAATAGAATCTCCAAGAACCAAACTGTTCTATGCTGTTCTATGCTAACAAGCTCTTGGATGTCCCTTCCAATGTCTTCTTCTGCTCCTCTCCTGGCCCTTGAATGCAGATGTGGTCTCACTGGCTTTAGTTCTGCAGCCTGCTTGAGCTCGAGGACAGCAGCCAAGTGACAGAATCTGGGCCTTGGCTTTAGCTTCTTTCCAGTTAACTGATGCCTCTCTGTCTCCCACCAGGTATGCCAGAAATCAGGTGAGATATCGCTACTAAAACAGCAGCTGAAGGAGTCCCAGGCAGAGGTGGTCCAGCGGGGCAACGAGCTGGTGCTCCTAAGAGCTCAGGTGAGGGAAGCACGGGCTGAGCTGCAAGCTGGCGAGGAGCAGGTCCTGGGGTTGCAGGAGGTGGCCCACACCAAGGCTCTGGAGCTGGAAGTCTGTGCCAATGAGCTGGCAAGGCGCAAGAGTGAAGCGGAGCTGCTGCGTGAGAAGTTGGGGCGCTTGGAGCGTGAGCTGGATGGACTGCGTAGTGCCACTGGAGATCTCTGCCCCCTGCTGGCTGAGTGTGATGAGGCAAAAGCCCAGCGGCAGGCGGCAGACACCCTGCATGGTTTGCGAGCCCAGGCTGAACGGCTGCGGGCAGAGCTGCTGTGTGAGCGGCGGCGTGGCGAGGAGCAACGGGAGGCTTTCCATGCCGAGCGCATTACTTGGCAGAGTGAAAAGGACCGGGTCATCCGCTATCAGAAGCAGCTGCAACATAATTATATCCAGATGTACCAGCACAACCGCGACATGGAACGCCAGCTGCGCCACCTCAGCCTCGAACTTGAGGCCCGGGACATGGATGAGTATGAGATGCATGGCGGCGAAGGAATCTGCTTTGAGGAGATTGCTGCCACTGAGATCTGAGTGTGCCTGGTGGAGGCCTGGGAAAGGGGCCACACTGCCAGAAAGAGGTTCTGGCAACCAAGATTGGAGCATGCTCAGTAGGGAGCCCAGCGGTGGAGGGCATCACCTAATGCACAAGCACAGTCATGAGTCCCAGTGGGTAGCACTTGTACCATCACATAACATAGTTGGGGACCCAGTTCGAGAGGACCCTACCCAGCTCAAAAACATTCACTGCCACTGAGACGTGCCTAGGGCCTGCAGGCGGCTCGCTTTGCTCCCCAGGAGCATGGGGCCTGACAAAAGATATACTCCTCCTCTCCTTGGAAGGAAGGTAGCAGCAGCTCTGTTCCTCCTGGGCTCTGCATACTTTGGGAAGCAGCACTTGATAGTGCTGTAGCCCTCCAGGTTGCAGTTGCTACACAGTCTCCTACTGTAGTGGTGCACACCATCACTTGCCTCCTCTTCATGGGCTGGAGATAGGCTTTAAGGCAGAGTGGGTGGGAGGGCTTTGGTTGGCCGTCATTTCCAAAGTGACCCCAATTGGTCTCCATTGGCTGGCCATTAAACAGAGTTGACTTGTAAGTGTGTTAATGGCCAGTTAGTTGCGGATCCACTTAGTTGATGGAAGGGAATTAGCATGACCTCCTTTGAGGCCTGCTGGGTAGACAAGATTTTATTTTATTTTTTAACAGGATGCTGTTCTCTGACCTTCAGTCCAGTCCTGTGTAAAACAGAACCAAATTTTTAAGAAGTTCTGGGCCAAGAAAAGCTGAATTCTGTATCCCATGTAGATTATACAAATAAAACAGGTTTCCATATATTTATTTTGCATCATTAGTACAGCTTCCAGTCTGTTTGGTTGGATCCAGACTAAATTTCCCACTTACAGAAGTGGCGTAATTTCTGCCAGTTTCCTCTTTCCACTTTAGACCTTCAGTTCGTGGGCAGAGTGAAGAAGAAGTGAAGAGATTGGATTTATACCCCACCCTTCCCTCAGAATCTCAGAGCAGTTTACAATCTCCTTCCCTCCCCCTCCCCACAGCAGACACTCTGTGAGGTAGCTGGAGGTGAAAGAGCTCTGAGAGAACTGCCCTTGAGAGAACAGCTCTGAGAGAACTTGTGACTGACCCAAGGTCACTCAGCAGCTGCATGTGGAGGAGTGGAGAATCAAACCCGGTTCTCCAGATTAGAGTCTGGCGCTTTACACCACTACACCAAACTTGCCATTGAGGTCACCAGGACTTTTCCTAGTGGTCCACTCCCCCCTCCCAACCTGGGCTGACCCAGCCCAGGAAGAGCAGGCTGGGGGAAACAGGCTGACCCTCTGTCTTTTGGGTGCATGGGGGTAGGGCGGGCAGGCTGCCTTTTCCCTCTCTTGTGGGGGTGGAGCCGGGCCAGGCTTGGTGCAGGGCCCTTTCCCTCTTCCTCAGGGGCAACATTTTGTGGAATCAGTGGATTGCAGTGGGAGGCAGGAAAGTTCTGTTTCACTGATGGAAGTGCCTTCCATTTGCAGAAAATCTAGTCTGGATCAAACCCAATAGTTGTGAAGTGTAAGGTGCTTTACAGGCTACTAAATCTTCTTTCCTCCCCGGTGGAAAATCTTCAAGTCCTCTGAATGGAAGTGTGGGCAAAACCTGAATCTCCACGAAGTACCTTCACAGCCAGAAAGGCAAGAAATGAAAGAACTAAAATTGATTCTCAGGCTTCTGAATCCTGGCCCCAAATGCTGTGGGGTGTGTCCGTGTGTGTGTGTTTTTTCTCTCCTTGCGATTGTGTGCAATGTCAGAATAATGAAGTTCTGGACTCCCCTGTCCTGTGATAGCAGAGGCTGAAATCCCTGAGTGCATTTCCCAAAAGGCTATAAGCCAAACACCTCCTGGCCTCTGGGGTGTCTACGTGGTAGATTCTGATGTGCATCTTACCTTAAAGGGACCTGTGCTGCTCCATTACTGGCAGTTCACTGAGTAATTTCCCTGCACACTTCCCAATTTCCTGCCCCACTCCAGTTTCACTGCTTTTTGCCAAAGGATGATTTTTATAAGACCTATCCAAAACTATGTGTATAAGCTTGCTCTGGATTCTTATTCCTGGGGTTTGGGAATGTCTTTCCCCTGTGTGTATTGCCTGGATGTTCCCATTCTCTTGAGGCTGCTGAGACTCTTGGCAGGACTTTGTGCTGTTTGCCAGTCCCACCTCTGTGGACACCCTGCTGCATGGGGGCCAGGGGATACACCCATCCTTCTTTGGAAACCTACATGAGAGTGCCTTTCCCTTTTCTTCCTGCATCTTTCCCCCCTGCTGGCATCACAATCATTTGACTTGAGGTCCAGTGGTCCTGAGTATGTTAGGTTCCTTTTTCATGTTATCCATGTTTCCCCCCTCTCAGGTTTGTTTGGCAGAGTGCCCTGCTGGCTTTCTTTTCCTTGGAATGATGTAGGGTAAGCTGTTGTTCCCAGAAGCCCCAGTTGCCCCCGTTTCCTTCCGTAGCAGAGCTCCTTACCAGGTCCCAGTGTTCCACTCCTTCCTGCCTTCCACTGGGCGGTATTCAGCTCTTTGGCTTTATTTGTCCTTGATCTGAATAACTGAAGCACCCGAGTACACAGCTCCATCTTTTTAAAAGTCTGGAAGTTCATCTGTACTTGAACCAGGTTCACTGGCTGTTTTGGCTGCAGAGAAAGTTCTGGCTTATAGCTCTGTCTCCGCCTTCACCTTGAAGTGGTTGGTCACCACCTTGGCAGAGGGACTCATCTTCAGAGAACAGCATTCTTGTTTGGGGAGGACCTGTGTCTTCCTCTCCTGCCTAGCTAGGGGGTTCTGGTGCCTACTGGCCGCTTGACAGATACTGTGACAGGTTGCGAGCTGGCGTGGGTGTGTCCAGAGGAAGGGAAGCAGACTCCGTCTTCTGAGGTGGGGAAAGGCCTTTCTCAGAGGGCATGACAAAGCGGCCCAGTACTGCATTAAGGACCAAAGTACACTCTGTTGGAGAAGTGTAGCCTTTTTCTTCAGGTTGAGTAAATGAAGAAAATACATATATATCCCTATAGTTATCAGGAAGCTGAAGGGTAGAACTAACCTGGACCTAGTACACCTGAACCTTGGGGGGTCACAGAATAGGATTGAGTTGCCAATGCATCCATCCAATACAAGAAACAGTGGACAGCTATGCAAGTGTGGCTCGGAGTGCCCATGGTATCTCACCTTGCGCCATCCCTCCCCAGCTGTGTCCCTCTATATACAGTGAATGCTTTATGTGCCCACCCTGTCAAGTTGGCTAAATATTGTCAGCCCATTCTCTGTGCCAGTGTAAACAGGGAAACTTCTTACAGTGACAGTGAGCTGAATGCAGCCAAAGCCCGTCATATCTGGGCATCTTGTTTACACCAGTCTGGGAATAGCAGCATTGATGGTGGGGTGTTTGCCATGTCGGGCTGACTTTAGCTTTACCACCTCCTCTTTTTCTGCATTTATTAGACTTGAGATTTTGATGGATAAGGTGGGGTCAGGAGGGTGCATAGTGACTCATTATGTACCTCCGGCCTCCTTCCCAGGGATCTTCCATGCTAATGTATATTTCTGTGCATTCCACAAGAAGAGGCAGTCCTCACCTACTTCCACCCCAGCCATTTTTGTGCTCTACTGCCCACAGCTACTGGAGAATGTAGAGAGGGGCCCCCACATCACTAGACCAAAGGGAAAAGCTTGGTGCGTGTCGTTTCTGTGATTGTTGCTGACCTGCCCTTCTGTCATTCTCCCCCCCCCCCCACTATCCCCAACTTTTGGCACCACGTTGTGTTTTGTTGTTGTTTTTTTACTTTATTTTCTGAAATTGTATATTTTCCAAGCTGTGTAAATTTCTTGTACAAACCAAAAGAAAAGTGTGAATTAAAAAAAGAGGGGGAAAAGATACCTTTGTGTTTTAAAGAAAAGCCATATGGTGATTTTATTGGGGGTGGGGAGGATATGGGACACTAAAGGTCCGGATGGGCTGAAAGTGTTCTGGTAGAGGGAGGAGAACAGAGATCAAGTGGCTGTGGCAGAGTGGGGGCCCCCCGACTCCTCTCCAGACCGGGGGGGGGCTGCTTTGCACTTAACACACCTAACATTCTTGTTGCTGTGTCTCCCAAGTGCGCCTTGCATCACTGCCAGCGCCTCATGTGAGATGCCTGGCCATGGCTCCAGGGGGAAGGTCGCCATCCTGTCTCCTGGGGACTCGAGCATCTGACTTTCAAGTAGCCATTTTCATTCAAGAGAGAGAAGATGCCAGGATTATCAACACTTTATCGGACTGTTAGGCAGCAGCACGCATGTGCCGTGAGAACATCCGTGGCCTCAGCCTGGAGATCCTCTGCAGCTGCTCCGATCATGGGATTTCAGGAAAGACGACGGAGAGCAGAGTGTTTCCTTTTTCCTCTGGTTCTCTTAGTTCCCTGCTGGTTAAATGGCTCTAAGGCTTGATGGAAGTAGTGGTCACCCACTTTGGCCTACTGCATGTCCCCTACTGGTACTGCTGCCAGTTAGATCTTCCCTCTGTATGGATTTACCATTATCATTTCATTGGAAGAAATGATGACAAGGTTAAGCCCAGTTTCCTGCTTTTATTACCTGGCTGGATCAAGGATTCTTGCCTCCCCTAGAGGGGAGTGGGGGGAAAAGATCCCCTACTCATTTGTAAAATGTGCCACTGTCTATAAACATGGGCTGGGTTTTGAAAGAATGCTCATAGTGGTACCAGCTCTGCACCAGGTACTGATGTCTCTTCACCGGCCATTGTGCTGGCTTCTGATAGGTGCAGCTGAGCCTTTTCATCCAAAAACACCCACTCACAGGAGAGAGTTAGATGAAGTCTTGCATGCCAACACTTTCCCACTGTGCACAGCAGAAGCTCCCCTTTGCCAGCACGAAGCTGTCCCATTTGCAGATGTTCATTAGCATCTGCTTTGTTTGCAGTATCCACGAAACACCTGCTTCACAGAGGAGTGCCCCTGTCCTGCTGTTCACCTGCAGTTCCCCGATTCGTCTTGAACCATGCCTTCCTGGAATTTGGAAGCTGCTGTTTCGTCAAGACTTCAGGTTGCCGTTTTACTTAACCTCTCTGCTACAGTTATACTGAGCAGTTAGATAGGCATGAACCAGTCCTCGGCTGACGGCAGGGGTTGCAACTCATTTTTGAGCTGGCCACGTTCTTCAGGGCAAGTTGCTTTGTCTACTCCATTACTTTGTTTCCTTCGGCACCTTCACCACAATCTCCATGGGCTCCCTGGCTTTGTTACGATAGGCTTGACGGATGATCTCTACAGCACGCTGGTGTGTGACGTTCTGCAGGCTCTCTCCTTCCACTGCCACCAGCTCATAGCCAGCCTATCAAAGGTCAAGGAAAAGAGTAGTTAGAAAGTGAAGGCTTGGCCTCCCCAAATCTGATTTTTACAGTAAGACATCTTACAGTGATTAAGCATCCCCCTCCCCGCAAAAGAAAGAAAGAAAGAAAGGACTGGGTGCTAGAGAAAGGGCAATGTGCCATTTTGCAGCTTGGCCTTTTTCAGATTTCTCTCAATCTTAGCATCCAGCATAAACTCAAAATGCAGCCAGGCATTTGAAGGATGCCATTTTGACAGCGGTTCAGTACTGGGAGCAGTTGTGAAGATGATTGTCTTGGAGAGTGAAAGGCCTGGGGTAGCAACTAGGAACAGATGCAGTTTTGGGGAAGGACATAAACCCACCTTCAAAGGGAAGAGGAACATTTATAGATGTGTTTCTTGAACTGGTTGGTAGGGGAATAAGGCAATGGGTGGGATCCAGCCAGCTTTTCCACTCAATCTCGCCCAAATCTCCTCCATACTATATAGCCCCTATCCCACGCAGGTCTCATCATGATCCCCCCCAGCATAGACTTCTGGAGTGCTCAGAGGGGATGCCCCTCCCTTTACGTGCAGCAGAAAGACTGGCTGAATCTGAACAATCGTTTTAAACATGGCTACTTGGAAACATGCTTGGGTTTCTTAACCAGAAGATATGACTGGAGGACAAGTTTCCCTGAAAGACATCTTGCCTCCCTCTGCTGATTTCCCTCTGAAAAGGAGAGCCACAGGGGGAAGCTGGGCAAGTTCTAAGTTACGTTGTCAGTACAAGTGGGGCAACAGTGAAATCCCTGCACCTTAAAACAAGCCCCCAAATCTTCCAATATGCTATGGTTCTACAGCAGAGTTTCAGGGGTTGCTTTAGCCAGTGGAGCCGAGGTACCCAAGAACCCCTGTGCTACTACATTTTGGAAGGTGAGCTTGCCTTTAGGCCTCATCCTTGCAATTGAGGTCTTCTGTACAGTGAAGGCACAGTAAAGCAAAGTAGCACGCCACAGCCCATTACAGAGCTTACAGCAGCAGCATACCCTGCATTAAGAGTCTGTACAGAGTTAGTGTTATCGATGCAACGAACATCAAATTAAGCAAACTCCGGAGCATGACGGAAGACAGGAGGGCCTGGTGTGATGTGGTCCATGGTGTCGCGACTCGCGAACAGCCGGACTCGATGGTGCGACTGAACAACACAGAGCAGCACTTACGTAAGCAGCTCCATCTTTGCTTCTTTGCAACTTGTATCTCTTTCCATTAAGCTAGAAACCTGAAGTTCAGTGGGGGAACTAAACCTCTGTTGATCGTATAACAAGTGAGCCAGGTTGGAGGGTGAGAACCTCCTGCCTGGTTTCCCCTCCACCTGATGGCTTTATTACTGGGCTCAGCAGGCAGGGGTCAGTGCTGGGACACAGGGGCCACGAGGAAGCTGTGGCAGGCCTTCAGTCCCAGCCTGTCGGTCCTAGAGGAGCAGTTTCACCTGTGCTGCTAGTCAGCTGTTCCCACCTCTTCCTGCTGCAGCAACCTGGCACAATGAGGCTTTTATCTGAGCCACCTGGCAAACTGGGCCCACAACCCCCTCAGCGAGGAGGCCACCAAAGGGGAAGCCTAATTATAGCTGCTCCTGGGGACTGAGGAAGAGTTGCTCGGTGGGCGGGCAGGCTGGCTGGCTGGGGCCCACAATGGCTCTTTGTCGGCGCCTGGCTCATTACAGAGTTGTCGTGAAATGCTGCAGAGCGCCCTGAACCGTGGGGGACCCTGAATGGCACAATGAGGTGTGTCTGTGTGTGTCTCTGGCCCCAAGGCCTCATTATATGGTCCCGCACAGTGAGATTTGTTTTGTGTGGGTGGTAATGAGGTTTTTAACTGGACCCCAGAGGCTGGACTGTAGTGTCAAAGGTGGGGCACAGGGGAAATAGGTAGCCATTCCACCCTGGTGCAGTGGTGCAGTGTTCTGTGCCCCAACTGGAAGATGGTATAGAGCAGTGGAGGGAAGATGTTTGGCTTGGCCCCCATTATGCACTTTTGTTTTGGAGCCAGGAAGTTAGATAATTTACAATGCAATCCTAAATGGAATTGCTCCCTTTTAAGCCCAGTGGGTTTACAAGGGTGTCTGCCAGTGTCTCCTTAAAAAGCTAGCTGTTTTGCCACTGTGGTTAACCATATTTGAATTTTCCTTGCCCTGTGGAGTAGTGTATCTGTCAATTTCATTCTTGTATGTAGTTCTGGTGACTCCAGAGGAAGAAATCAGGAATAAAAATGACCCTATTTTATGACTGCCCTGCAGCTTAGCTGCCAACTAATGTGAAAGCTTCTTTTTACCCTGAGTTCATGTAGATCCAGGCTGTGCTGCTGAAATTCCCTCCCCTTGGAGAAACTGCATTGTACTTGTAGGACTGGTACAGTAATGTGTGGAGCCGACAAGCTGAAATCTCATTTTTTAAAAAGTATCTTAAGGATAAAGCTAATTTCACCTTCTCATGGAAAACCAATAAGTCCTATTTATGCATCTGGCATTACAGTGGTTATCTTAATGCATCCCAAGTTGCAATAGATTCTGCACAAATCAGTTGTGGTTGCATATTTAAAAAGTGTGACTGCCATGAAAACAATCTATGAATTTATGGTGGTAGGAACAAAAAAATAAATGTAATGTAGTACTAGTTGATGCTATTTCAGGCAGCAATCCTATGCATGTCCACTTGGGAGTAAGACCCATTGGATTCAGCAGGATTTACAGCTGAGTAAACATGCAGAAGATGACGCATGTGGAGGGACAGATTGTTTGCACAGGAGGAGAGGAGGAGAGCAATGCCAAGCATGTGGGCATGAAGAGAGCAGAGGGTTTGTGCTCTGTTCTGATACAAACTCCCTTGTGTGACCTTAGACAAGTTGCTTCCTTGTGAGGGGTGGGAGCGAGAGGGGGGCTGCTCTCCTGCTCCGCTATGAGCTGGGCAGGGAAGAAGCTGGCTGTGCAAATCCTGGCTCCCGGCGGAGTTTCCGAAGCAATTATTTTTATACTCTAGACGGCAGAAATCCTTTGGAAGGGAGGAGGGAGGAGGAGTAACTGATGCAATAATACTTTGCCCCATGCTTGTAGGAGACCAACATGCTGATACAACAAGCAGAGAAAGAATATCCAATTATGCAGCAATCTGGGCCATCTACTGCTGAGTGGGTCTTTGCTCTGGTGTCCAGAGCAG